GTGGGGGGGGGGGGATTTTCTCCCTGCTTTGGGTTTTGATTTTTGCATATAACATTTCACTTTAAGATATGAGCTGCCAAGCAAGAAATATTATCAGAATATTTGGTTTCAGGCAAAGAAGCCAGAAACTCTGAGAACAACAAACAGGAAGACATGGAAAAATTTAAGTAATTCAAATTAGAACCAGAAAAGGACCACAGTTCTGATGATGATTCTACTATATGTTCGCAGTCTTATTGCGGCATGAGTTATTGAAGCTTACGGATGTTTCACCATGTATCTGGTATTAATTGATTAAAATATCAAAGGTGCTTCCCGCCTCTGAAACTTCAGTGAATTTCTACCAGACTACATGATGCAACACTCCAGAAGATAGCAAACTTCTTTATTTATCTCCATGAGAGCCTGATATCTAATTTCACTTGTTATGGTTCAAAGTAGGCTACAACAGCTTACAGACTCAAATGACAGAGCCAATACACAAAAGCTTCCTGTACTATGACACACTGTGTGTAAACCCATTATTATACACTCACTTGGCACGAGAGGAAGGACAGCTTCAAAATGTGGCAGGTTACACAATGCGACAGTCCGGAAGGGCCAGCATCTCACGTAGCTCTTTAACTCTGAATGCCAGCTGCAATGCACCTTGCCCGTCAATCAGCATCACAAGACAAACTCTGCTATAGGTTATGGGTTGATAGGCGCATCAGCTACTCTGGCTATTAGCGCTCTCTGATGTTAGTACTCTGGAAAAATCATAAAATGTTATACACAAAGCAAATGCTTCAATTTTCATGCGTTGCAAACTGTTCCTTTTCGGTTTGAAATTCAATGGTTAAGCAGCTGCTAATTTCATTAGGAGTCCGTAAAAATTATTTTGCCCACAGGCTCATTACAAACTAAGCTCCTACTTTAAACCATCTTAGGGCCGATATTTTATAATGAAACAATAAATTCTGAACGTTATGTAAATTTAATACTTAGACCCTTTTTCCAAGAAATGACCAATGAAGAAAAGACTTATGGTTTCTTCATGCAAGACAATGCTACAGCTCACACAGCTAATCGGTCGATGTTAAGATTAAGAGAAGTGTTTGGTGAACAAGTTATTGATCAGTGGCCTCCACGTTCCCCAGATTTTTACCTGTCCAAGGTGGTGATACCTTCGAGAACCTCCACAGAAACTGAAATACTTTAAAGAAAGTAGAGTTCATAAATTGTTCCCACATATTGCTCATTAGTGTCAGCACATTAAACAAATGAAATTAAAACTAAAACTGAACTTTTATCTTAACCCTGACTTTAAAAGAGGCAACTCCTTCATAACAGATATAACAGTCATAGTTCCATAATTTCACCTTCTAGAATTAAGGTAATGGCATTTTTTATTACGAAGCAGACACAATCACACCATTCCTGTTATCAACTACATTTAAAAAAAAGATGTAACACGTGAAGGTGAGTTTGCCATTATTCACACCCTGGCACTTGCAACCCAGTGTAAGGAAACTGTGGAGTGCTATTCCAACAAGATGGGGCTTAGAACAGATGCTTCTTGAAGCACAAACAAGCTCAACCATAAGTCTGCCAATGGATGTAAACACAATGCTGGCAACATCCAAATCAACTTTTCCCTGGCCCAGTACTGCACCCAGCTCCACATTCAAGTTAACAGAAATGTCTGCGTCCCGCAGCAATACGTTGCACCAGCCCATAAACCTCCTGGACAAGATCACGTTCCTAAGCTTCTCACCTTTTACCCCCATAGTTCTTGATCCTCATGTGCACCACATGCCTGCTAACAGTGCGACCATCAATCATGTACACATTCATACTAGAAATGTTTTTAAAAATTGTTTATAGATACAAAGGAAGAAAATATTACAGTTAAGCCTAAAATTTATAGACTGACTAGCTTCAAAACATTGTGAAAGTTTCTCCTCTAACAACGAAGGTTTTCAGTAATGGAGAAATATAATATAATAATAATCAGAATACATCTGTGAAAGAGAAGTCAATTCTTGCATTTGGGTCATTCTATATTAAGTCAACAAATGGAGTGACAACAATGGCAGAATTAATTATGATGCTTCTTCTTCTTCTTCTTCTATGGCTCTCCGGTCCATACTCTGTCCATGGGCTCCTGTTCCATTCAGTCCTATCCTCTGCTCGGATGTTAGGTCCATCTGTCAGAGGCTTTGATTGAGGTTTCGAAACATCTTCCTTTTTACGGTGCAAGGTTGTTAGCCTTGCGACTAACCCCCAACCTGGAGGACCACGGTACCTGACTTAGTCTGACCTCTCTCCCTCGATCAATCTGGATAGGAAGGCCCTACCAGTAGCTATGCTACCGCCAGCTAGTCAGTTTTAATATGTGAATCCTAATGAAGTAGCGTACATCTACTGAGTTACTTATCTGGTATCAACATTTTACAGATATTACCAATTTTCAGAGAGTATACACAAAAGAAAATGGCACACATGTCATATTAACAAACATAACATGGCAATAATTTTGGAATCTTTGATAAGATTCACATTATTTTACCCTCAAACTTTAGACCTATAAGATCAATTCTGGAGAAAATCTGCCTTACTGCTCTTGGAATCAAATTTCATGGTACATTTTGGATCAAAACTCACCACAAAATTTAGTTCTTTCTGTACGCTAGAAACAAATTGATATTTATGTTATCACATATCTCAGAAATGTTAACAAATGCAAGTATTAAACTCTCTACAATTTACCACCCGAAGGCACGCACTGGTGTGTATTAATATTAAAGTTGCAGCTGACGGCACTACTCAGATAAATGGGGCAAAATAAGATGCAATCTCATTATGTTGCAAAAATTTCAACTTTCATACCCATTTGCTCATAGACATGTCATTTATACCAAAGATATGTTGACATATGGCAAAAATATACTCAAAATTCAGCACTACATTCATTCTCTACTCTGAAATAACCCTGTCTCTAAATATATCTATAAGAACGTGTGCATTCTAACCTGAAGCACACGTAGGTTCCCGTCCAAGTACCTTTGCATTTGTGGTTAGTACATGATCAATAACAACACTACTTATATGTTCCTTCCCAATTCAGGATAATAATTCTGGTAGCATTTTATATGTTTGACCTATCTTGATGCTTGGAGCATTACATTATCTTCAATCCATAAAGAATCTTCTTTCTGAGGTGAAAACAAAAACAAAAACAGAAAGTGGTCAATGAGGCTGAATAAATTTTTCACAGAACATTCTTGTTTTTCTTGAACAACAAACCATCATAATCATAGGCAATATATGTCTGTGCTGTTTAACTTCTCACACCTGTTATTTGGTGTTATAAACGATGTGGACAGAACAGAAACAGCTGTAGTGACCTCTCTGGAGTCTAATGGGTTAAAAACATGGTATGTTTGAGTTCCTGGTATTGCAAGTGCATAACTATGTACAGTTATTAATACATTACAAATAATTCCTTAAAGTTTTCTGGTCAAAATATATTATAATGGGTAGTATAATGTATCAATAGAATATAATGGGTGGATTTATTTGTATTTTATGTAAAACCTTATACTATGTGATATCTTTACAACTGTACAAATTGCACATGTATTATTCAGACTTATAACACATCCTACTACCATCCAACTACCTTAGAGATCCATGCAATTAAATAAAAATGAATGCATGTAATCTAATGATGTGTAAGTTGCTGATGCAGTAATTTAACAGTTTATGAGATATTTGAAGTTGATGACTTGTAGATCTGCATTTGCAGCTAGCATTTACAATTCTCAAGGCTTGATGCAGAAAAGTATAACTTAAAAAAAGGAAAATTTTCAATGAGCCTCGGAACTATTGTCATCGAGTTAGTCTGTCATTATGTACTGTTTGTACTCTATTGTCATATCACCAACAAGTTCAATTAGAAGTAATACTTTCAGTGTCTATGCACCATACATACAATTCTCATTCTAAGTGTTGTACACATACTTATCGTTTCATAAACTCATGTCCTGTTTAACAATACACATATACAAGAATATACTGCAAACTTTACTGAAATACTTGGGTGTCTTTCTTTGAATTATACAGACTTTTTTGAGGTTATGCAACACATTTTTCTTTTTTTTTGACTGTATCCACTCAGTTTTGCAGATGGTGTCAATTATTGTTATTAATTGTGTACATCATACATAAAATGTTTAATTAGATCCAAGGCAAACAGACAGTTCAAAGCCCAAAAACAATGTTTTATACCAATCAATACCCTGATACGTGTTCTTACACGCTGGCGACATCTGTCGGACATAGCGAATACTAAAACTCGTCTCACAATGATATAAGTATAGACTGCAGACAGATATTGCGCAACAGCCAATCATCAACAACGCAAGTTTTGAAATGTGAGCAAAACGGTTTGGAAATTTTTTTGAAAAAAACTGCGGAAGAAAGAACTGGTCAGAAAAAGTAAGTGTACCACAGAAAGGACAATGCTCATTCCTTCATGTGGACCATTAAATCTAACTGGCGCACAGTATTTTTGCGGAGTTGGGTAGGTAATCTACAGTGAACAGCCTTTTGTGGTGGAAAACATGAGTAAATTTAAAAGAAATACAGATGTACATAATTTAAATACAAGACGTAAACATTATCTATATGTGCCAAATGCTAACTTTACTAAATATCAGAAAGGAGTGTACTATACAGGTATCAAGTTGTTTAATAATCTTCCACCAACAATTAAAAGTCTAAATTATGATATAAAGGTATTCAAGCCTGCATTGAAAGATTACCTCCTTACTCCTTCTATTCTGTAGATGATTTCATCTCTGCTGAAAATGTTTAAGCTTTATATCCATAATCTACATATATGTAAAGCAAGTTTTGTATTTATATTTAAAATTCTGAGGTTTATGTATATTAATTTGTAAAATTATTTTTCATACTTGTATTGCAGAATCTGAAATTTATGTACATTGATATGTGAAATACGTTCATGTACTTGTGTTGAAAGTTCTGAAGTGTATGTATATTGTATGAAATGACATGTTCTACATCCTTTGGTTGAGTCCTAAGAAGGATCAATGGAATGTAAATAAACTCTACTCTACTCTACTATAAGGTGCACTATCTAGGTACTTCACTGCAGAGACTGATGAAGGTCATGAAGAATTAGACTTCATGTTGAAGGAAATAACTAGTTACTCATAACTACCAGAATTTAGAACATTGATCATTATCATCACAATAATCAATATAAGCAGGTTCAATCACCTACAGATAGCGATTACTCTGATAAATAAATAGAATAACATGAAAAATCAAGAGCACCATAAGAAAATCATGTCAATTGTGAAAAATGCCAGCTAATGAAGTTTCTGATACAAAACATGTGCAATTCCACTGCATGAAAACATTACATAAGAAAGAAAAGAAAGCAGCAACGAATGTAGGAATGGGGAAATATATGCAAAGGAAAAAAAGCATGAACCAAGATGCGTGTTCACAGAAAGTTTATTCACATAGTATGACTAGCTTAAAAAATTGTTTTCAAGATGTATAGCTTGGCACCGCAGGTTGTAATGTGCAAATTTTGTTAGGCAGAAGAGGCTCAAGTTTAGTTACTTTCCGTCCTATTTGTCAGCCTCAAAGTTCAGTTTAATAAAGTGTTTCAATGTAATGTTTGACAATACACCTGCAACTATTACAGTTTACTCCATCAGCAGACAGTCCACTCAAAAAGCAATAACAGGAGGGGAAATGATTAACAATGAGCAATATAAATTGTAGTATTTAACAAATGCTATTACACTGATGAAATGGATGGTGAATGTAGCACACTTGGGAGACTTAGTTGGATTTGATTAATATTAAAATAGACAGTGTGTGAGGATGAGGATTGGATTGATCTTGCACAGGAGGATAGGATACAGTGGCTGGATATTTTGTACGGAATATCATACAACTTCCATTTCACATTCACATGGAATGCTCAGACGGTAGGGTCCATCAGAAATGTACCTCAAGAGAGAATATTAAGCATCTAGTTTCCATACCCTTGCAGAAACAATGGGGCAGAAGTTGGTCTCCCATTAATGTACACTACACCGACCATCTTCTGCGAAGTCAAAACACTCAACTCATTAAAGTCATGTTTACTGACAATTTAGGGTTCACATATTGTAGCTGGCAAGTGTTTACTTAGCACTCCTGCTTCATATTTAGAGAGTCCTAGATTCACATCTGTTCCCAGAGACCGAATATCCTGACATTTGCAAATTGAAAAATTAAATAAAAAATATGTACTTAAAGGATTATATTTTATTTCATTGGTTTTAGTATTTGAAATTAAAGCAAATCCTTTGAAGGCCAGTTCAGTGTAACATTTACAATGGGCTTTATAAAGTCGACTTAATGTAGACCTGCTATTATTACTTTTGATACAGGTTCAACTATTTTAAGATAGGTCCCAGGGATGGATTTCTACGAAAAAGGCAATGAATATCAGATTCTGTGGATGCAGGGAATTTATTGTCACCATGAGCAGCTACCAACCATTCAGGTCCCTGCACCAGACATTTAATGATATTATCACTACAAATGGCGCGGCTAAGAGCAATTCTGGGAATACTTGCTACTGTGCAGTTCAGAATATTTTATCTTACAGACTGCAATCTATCAAGAAATGTAAAGCTAAAAAAACACAAAAACTGAAACTTTATACTCGATCTCTCACATCAAGGAAAGACGACTGAGAAGGCACTTGTCATCTGGGATGCTGCTACACGTATTCTAAGTTGAGGGTGTCTAACGATAGTGTGTTAAAGAGAACATTTTAAATTACGGGGGTGAGGGCCTGCAGAAACTGAAAATTAACGAGCTGCATAAAGTACACTCATCAGGTAGTATATGAATGATACACCATGCAAGATGAGATGGGCAGGACATACAGCACACACAGGAGAGATTATAAATGCTCTGTAGATGGAAGAACACTCATGAGACGTAGCACAG